CAACCATTTTCTTCATTCTTTCTTCCATCTTGGTCCTCCACATCAAAGTACTTCAATTTTAGTGCTCCAACTTTTACTCAAATGCATATTAGTCCCCAAGCTTTGTATTTGATATAATTTAGCCCTTTTCCGCTATCTTTGCATTATTTTCTCCAATTTTTCATCAAATATTGAGTTTTACCTACAAAATGAAATATAACACTAAGTTATGTAATATTTTATCCACATAACGGTAAAATATCATCGTTTAGGACCTCGAATAAGTGTAGAAACTACACTTATCATTTTGCATAGAAATCTTTATTCTTTCCTTACTAAGGGATAATAAATTTTATTCCACTATGCTTAAATTACACTTTTTTCAGAAAACTTGTTAAAATTAATTGGCTTTAAGTATGTCCAACAAAGTACTGATTATTGCCATTATAAGTTGGTTCGATTCAAGAAATAAACTTTTATAGCAGACTCAGAGACGTAATTACTACAAATTCACATCCGGATTTAGCTACAAATTTTCAACAACCATTATTTTTCTAATAGATTTGAAAGCACAAAAATCTCGATGTTCATCATATAATTAATCTAACATCACTACCATCAAACACATTTAGCGACATAAATCATCTACAAGCTTAGCAATGATTTTCCAATGGCTATTATATTTTTTAAAGCCACAAAAATTTAACCGCATATTTAGTGACGACGAGAAATAGTTTACTAAAATTGTCGCTAATCCGTCGAAAATATAAAAAATTATAAATTGTATGGATGACCTTTAACAAAGATAGACTTTTCGCAAATGTTAATGAATTTTATTTTTTTAAAAAAAGGGATAAAGATAAAGAAAATTATCAAGAGGCATACAGCCAAATGGTTTTAATGCACTGAATTAGTCACGCAACTAATATGTAAAAACGTTTGGTAAGATAAAACAATTGGTAATAATGATCATTGTAATAGTTGTTGCGCTTTTGAAGTCAAGATTTCGTTACTAACAATGAAATGATACGTTAATAGCTTTATTTGAATGGGTATATGTGGCTAGATAATTCAAAGATGTCAATAGTTATAATTAACAGCGACGAAATGCATACCAATAAACAAAAATAAACGGCGAAATTAGGTTATTCATTAGCTAGTTTAGCGATGAAACCCCTCGCTAAAGACCGTCACTAATTCCATCATAAATCTAAATTCATTCTTCATGACAAAAATCCATGATGGATGTGGTGACTAAGAATATCTCTCTTGCTAAAATATGTTACTAAATTCGTCTGAACGGCGCGATAACAATGCACGAGTTTTAGATAGTTTCTATTATTTGATTGACCAGTCGCCACATTCAGGTTAATTTTATTAATGACAAAATAAGTTTAACCAAATATACTTTTTGTTATCAAACATTGATTCCCGATGTAATTTTATAGTCAATTTCTATCGATAACTAGTACATAACAACAAACACGTTTAGCGACATAAATCATCTACAAGCTTATAATGATTTATGTTTATATCTTTATTCGATGTGGGATTCTATCTCTTAACATGCCCCAACAAGATGGTGGCTTATTTGAGCAAACAAATCTTAAAATTTCGTATGCTCACTTTTGGAGTATTAATCGGATCGAATTGCTCGTTAGAGTTTAATGGGCTCTGATAGCATGTTAAGAATTGAGATTTCATCTTAAAATGTTAACCTTATTAAGAGGATCGAGTAACACAATTCTTTATAAATTGGTTTATATTTACATCTTTATTCGATGTGAGATTCTATCCCTTAACATGGATGACCTTTAACGGCGATAGACTTTTGGCAACTGTTAATGAAATTTTTTTTTTTTTAAAGGATAAAGATAAAGAAAATTATTCAAAAATAAACGGCGAAATTAGGTTATTCATTAGCTAGTTTCGCGATGAAACCCCTCGCTAAAGACCGTCACTAATTCCATCATAAATCTAAATTCATTTTTCATGACAAAAATCCATGATGGATGTGGTGACTAAGAATATCTCTCTTGCTAAAATATGTTACTAAATTCGTCTGAACGGCGCGATAACAATGCACGAGTTTTGGATAGTTTCTATTATTTGATTGACCAGTCGCCACAATCAGGTTAATTTTATTAATGACAAAATAAGTTTAACCAAATATACTTTTTGTTATCAAACATTGATTCCCGATGTCATTTTATAGTCAATTTCTATCGATAACTAGTACATAACAACAAACACTTGCGACGAAATTTTGAACTAGAGTAGAGATGCGTACCTTTTTTGCAAGACAATTCAAAATAGTTGATGCTAACAATTAAATAGTGACGCAATCCGTGATAGTGAACAAAATAAATAACGAAATTAGGCCACTTATTCGCTATTTCCAAATATATGGTTGGACTTAGCGACGAGATCCCTCACTAAAGTTTGTTACGATATCCATCATCAATTTAAATTCCTTTTTTTGTTTTCTACGGCGAAAAATAACGGATTTTGTGACAAAGAATGTCTCTTGCTAATAAATGTTACTATGGATGTGTTGGGAGTCCCTTTTTTATTTGAAAATTGAGTTTTGTAATAGTAATTTTTGATAATGTATTGTTAAAACTTAAAAAATAAAGAAAAATTTTAGTTTATGTATAAAATTATTTTATTGGGAGAATGTATATTGAAAAGCAAGTTTGAAGAAAAATGAGTTTTTAAATGATGAAACTCAAATAGAGACTAAAATTTGTCTCAAATTCAGTATGGAAGTACAAGCCATTACAAATGCATTGTGTATATAGTCTAAGTGGAAAATTCTAAACTACTTCTATGCCCATATTTGTCTTCCATTCATTTAAAAATATTTTTTATATACTTATTTTCAACTACACATTCACATAATAAAATATTTTATACGTAAACCAAAAACTTTTCCTTACTTTTTAACCACACAATTTCCAAAAATTACTATTCAAAACAATGTTTCCCCAAAAAAAATGACCACCAAACTGGGACTTCACTTTTCGCTACAAAAGTAAAATAAAATAAATAATAAATTGAGTTCAAAACAAAACAAAATAAAATAAAAATTAATGATGTTGAATGAAAATATTTTTATACGTGTTCATTTAAATATATAAATATTTATATTTAAATAATCATTGAAAGCTTGAAATATTTTTATTTTTTATTTTTCTAAATTTTTTTATAAAATTGTTTTTAAGAATTTTCATTTTATTTAAATTTTTTATGTAAATAACATTAACTCTTGAACTATTTTTATTTTTTATTTTTTTAGAAATTTTTAGAACTTTATTTTTTAAGAATTTTTATTTTTATTTATTAGAATTTTAAATTTTAGATTTTTTTCATTTTTTTAATTTTATTTGTTAGAATTTATATTTATATTTGTTAGAATTTTATCTAAATGTTATCTTCCACGTTTTCAGAAAATTCCGAAAACACTCAAAACGTCAAAAATACATTTCGAGTTTTATATTATAAGTTAACCTTGTTTTCGAACATTTATTTTCAAAAATATTAGTCCAAAGTGCTTCAAATGCTCCTCGACATTACAGAGTGGTCACCATTGGTCCCCGGTTTCTCTAGCACTTATTCGGTATCCTGATTGAAACCTTAGAGAGGCCTGGTCAGGGAAAAGAGTTGAGTTGATCAAGTTCGACAATTGGGATGCCCTTTGGGTCAGATAAAAAACCAACTCAAGAACACAGGAGAAGTGCTCTTGACAATAATATATTTTTATGATATCCATAATTTTTTAACTACACATATAATTAACTTCTATCAAAATCTATTAAAAATAGTGTCGATGGATACTGAACTTGTTATCAGCCAACTAAGACACTGTTTGATGGGTTTTTCTTTCAAAACTATTTTTTTTCTACGTATTTAATTTCATTCAAATATACACACAATAAATATTCTTCACGTAAGTGCAAAAATATTCCCTACTTTTTAACCACACAATTTTCAAACATTCACTATTCAAAAAAATTTTTTTTTACCAAATAATGGCCACAAACAGGGGCTAACGTTTGTCAAGGTTCATTTATTTTTCTAGCATGTCGGGCCTTGCATTGCTATTTTTCTAATTTTTTGTTATTTTGTAAATGTAAGAAAAGAAATTTACATGAATGGCTAGAAGACACAAACCTAGCATAAGTCGAGTTTCAAACTCAAGTAAGTGCTGAATTGTGACGAATTTGAGCGACTCAACCTTACTACACGAGTAAGTAGTGTTATCACAACTATTCCCCAATATTTAAATTGCTGCTAACTATTCTCTCTCTCTCTCTCTCTCTCATGACTGAGTCGTGCAATTTTCAATTTAAACTTGAACAAATTAGACAATAGATGGTCAATAGTTTTGAGCTCATATTCTACGATCACAATACTTCGGTTAACAAATCGTAACAAATTGACAAAGTCTTCCAATTTGAATAGAATACTTATGTTTGATTTCTATAAGGTTAATCCCTTTGGTTAACTATCCTTAGCCAAAAGGAAACAGAGAAAAATACCAACTATATGGGATCAATGACCTTTTCAAATGGGGGACTTATACGACATTAGAAGCGGATCTTAGAATTTTTTTTTAAAGAAAAAAAAACAAATGATTCATTTTCATTTATATTTTTCACCACTCCCTAATTTTGCATTAAAAATTCTATTAATTAGAAAAATAAATTTTATATAAATATTTTATTTAACTACCATTTGTTTGGCACTTAGCAAACTACGGTACACGTGGCGCGAAAAGCAAACGCATTGGTTTCTTTTCCAATAAACTAGCGATATCCCGCCTAATCTTTCGCTTCGAACTAGCCACGTCATCGGGAAAAGATCCAAACCACCCGCCGCGGCGCCTCGTGATGTATAGAGTTACAGTTATACAGGGACTCTTATTCCTCTATAGAAATTCGATCTAACCATTCATCTTCAAAATCCGTATTGATTTGTAGGAATATATTTATTATTGTTGAGAGCGACATCGAGAAGTAATGGAGAGTGTTGTTTCGGCTCGCGCATTTGTTAGAGATGTTAAGCGTGTCATAATCAAGGTTTTTTTTTACCTGTTTAGTCTTTTTTTTTTCTGTTTAGTGTATATTAATTTTGTACTACAGATTATATTGGGTTATATTGGTGCTTTTTCTTTCTAATTTACTTGAGTTGTTGATGCTGGATTCAAATGAAGATTTGCATTTAGTTGAATTCTATAAAGTTGACGTCTTTTCTTTAACAACGTACTCTAATTTTGGAAGTTGTAATGAATCATAGAGTTTAAGGTTTATCTGAGACTGCTTCATTATTTTTATTTTTTGCAAGTTCTGTGTTAAGATTGATGTGGGTATCAGTACATTAGTGTTTTGTTGTTCTCAGTGTTATGATTGTCATAGATTGCAAATGTACTGAGTTGCTTTTGAAATGAAATTGGTTGATCATTCTTTTTTTTTAATACTAATATTTGTGATACTGATAATAGTCAATGGCTCCTACATTTAGAATTGTGAATTTATGGCTGATCAATTAGCTGTTGAATATTTAATATTTGGACTAGTGTGTAGAACCACTTGATCTAAAACTAAGCTATTAAACAAGGCTACATGCATGTATAGCATATAATATTATTTTCAATATGCCCCTTCGTGTGTAAGTGGGATATAATTTTTTGTGATTAAAGACTGACATGTGAATGTTTTTTAATAAATAGGTGATTGCGAGACTTGAATCTAGGACATTTGCTTGCTTTGAAATCTTGTCGAACTACTTGTTCTAAAAGTTCAAGCTATTAGATAAGACTGTATGTATATCATTTGAATTGTTACCCTCAACATAGTGACGTGGCATAAAGTGAGAATTTTGGTGTTAGATATTGATGAGGCACCATGAAGGACTGAAAATGATTATATCAGTAATTTGTTGTAAGAATACATAACAGAAGTTGATATAGTACACGTCAAAAATGTGAATGCATTGTTTATATATTGAAGACAATAGTGCTACTGTACTCAGAACAAAAAATAGAATATACGAATAGATTTTTCTTCTCTCATCTTTCCTTTTATCCATTGCCTTCTTTCTGCTATTCTTTTAATCCTATTTATTCTGTACCTCAACAAATAATAACGGCTGAATGTCATTATTTTCATCCTTTGCAATTTGTACCTCTCTTTAAATTCGGCTCCACTTCACATTAACTAATTTGAAATCTTGGCATTTTGACACATTGTTGCTACACTTATTTATAATAATCGAAGGTTGGAACTGCTGTTGTCACTCGAGTTGATGGGAGATTAGCACTTGGAAGGTTAGGAGCACTCTGTGAGCAGGTGACTAGGACTCAGATGTTTATGGATTTATGCCTAACTTTGATTCTTTATTTGAGTTAATGCTTTAATTGGGATTTCTTACATTGTTAAACTGCAATTGAAAATGCAGATTCTAGAACTGAACAATCAGGGATATGAGGTCATTTTGGTGACATCAGGAGCAGTTGGTGTTGGTCGTCAACGGCTTAGATATAGGAGATTGATAAACAGCAGGTTTCTGAACTACTTGTGCTGACTTGGAGTTTGGTTTGGTCAAACTGGGAAACATACTGATGGACTTTTTGCTTTCTAATTTACCAGAAGACAATTATGTCACTGAGATATTTAATGGACCCTAAAGATGGAATCCATTCTATTAAATTTCAGGCGTTTGCAAGAAAAATACTTATTATGAAAATGACTGTAACCTTAACTAGGTAGTGTAGAGTTTTTTCTTTTTAGTTTTGTTGCAGTTGAGAGCCACTAATATTATGTGACTTATGGGCATTCACAGCTTCGCTGACCTCCAAAAACCACAACTCGAACTTGATGGGAAAGCTTGTGCAGCTGTTGGACAAAATGGTCTCATGGCTGTCTATGATATTTTGTTTAGTCAGGTGAAATAATAGGTTGTTTTGGCCGTTTTTCTTGCCTCATGCTATCTAAAAAAATAACCTTAGATGGTTAGGTGCTATTTTATTCACATTTCTCTGGATCTTGAAAATTCTGTTTTTCTTTTTCAGTTGGACGTGACATCAGCACAGCTTCTCGTGACTGATAATGATTTTAGAGATCCAAATTTCAGAAGACAACTCAATGAGACAGTAGAGTCTTTGTTGTCTCTGAAGGTTGTTCCTATATTTAACGAAAATGATGCAGTCAGTACAAGGAAAGCTCCTTATGAGGTATGCTTGTATGCTTTGTCGCTTATTGTATCTTATTGCTTTCATTATTGAATCAACAGTTTAATTAGGTACTTATGCTATATACACCCACCCTTTTGGTACTCACTAGTCACAATGTGGGCAGCAAGGGCTGTCAGCATCCTATATTATATGTTTTTAATAATCTCAATTTTGACAGCAGCATAGCTCATTCCTATTTCTAATATGCCACTAATCTGTAGGACTCTTCTGGAATATTTTGGGATAACGACAGTTTAGCATCTCTACTAGCGCTGGAGTTAAAAGCTGACCTCCTTGTTCTGTTGAGTGATGTAGATGGTCTTTATAGCGGGCCTCCAAGTGATCCACATTCAAAGTTAATTCATACATACGTTAAGGAGATGCATGAGGGCTTAATTACTTTTGGAGACAAATCTCGGGTTGGAAGAGGGGGAATGACTGCCAAAGTAAAAGCTGCAGTTCATGCTGCTCATGCTGGTGTCCCTGTTATTATCACCAGGTAAACTGCATTCCTTCGTAGAAATGATTCAATCTTGAATCAAAACATGCATCAAATTTTCTTGCTTTCCATGCTAGAGACTAAAGTACAATGATGCTTGCATTTGTTTTACTTCCTGAAAGTGGTTTTTTCATTCTTACTTTCTATCAAAACAACTTAATTTTATCTAAGTAGGAAACTAAATTACACAGATTATGGAACTAAAAAAAGGGAAAGTATAATAATCACATAAGTCGGAGAATTAATTTCTTGATATTTTTCGATCAATCAATAACAGAAATCCGGAAATTAACTGATATTCTTAGTCATTCAATCACCAAGATGAGGGTATTAATTCCTCTATAGTCTTTACTCTATTCTTCAATTGTCCGGGAAATAATTTCATCTCAATCATATCTGTCAACACGATGAATTCTTTAACAGAATTGTTTTCTAGTGGTTTGTTTAGATTTATCCGAAGTCAAACACTTTACTCTTATGTAGTTAGTGGAAAGACCATGAAGCATTATGAGTAGATGACATTGCTGGATGAAAATGTTCTGAGGGTCAACTTGGGAAATACTGGCAGTGGTATTAATCAATCATCTTTTCTTTTTTTTTGTGTGTGGAAACATGGAAAAATAACAGTGCTAATAATTGAAACTATTTTTCTGACTATTATGTACCATTGAATTTTGAATAAGAATGTTTTTCCCAATCCAATCACAACATATGCTGCAAATGATTCTAGTTTCCAGTCCTTGCAATTGGTATGAGGTAGTTTTCAGATCTTTTAATCAGGAATTGATAAAATTGAAGCATTAAGGTATATTGAAATTAAAAAGAGCAGTTTGTAAGTGTGCTGATGGAGATAGCTGCTTTTAAACCTGATATAGAGGAAGCTCCTTATAAACCTTCTAGATGGGATTAAAGAAATTTTCTGTATTCCATAATAGTTCATTATCATGATGGATGCCTTATATTCAGTTTTGTACTTTGATATAAACTGTACGACACCAAAAGTGTATTGATGATTATTCATGATACAGAGAAATATCTCATGAAAGTGTTTCTCATTTTCTTTGTTTGTTAGGATGATAGGAAATAGCTTAGGACATATATGGTTCTAATTGTCACATTTTCTAGAAATTAGTCCCACCATATTTATGTAACTAGTTTCAGAAAATACAAAGCCATCCGGAACTAGCCATATTTGTTATAACTTGTTCGTAACCTTGAAGAAACATTGATGATGGATTCTATATTTTACAAATTCAAATATTTTAGCTAAAAGAAGAAGTTGAATCTTGTTTTCGCTAATGGAAGATGGTTACACTGGATGGCTGTTTTACTAATCATTATCTAGTCTTCACATGTCATTTTGTAGGGAAGCCATCTGCAACTAGCTATATTTGTTCTAACTTGTCCTGTTGTCCATACCATAAAGAAAGATATAAGATGTAATCTATATATATATCAAATTCAATATTTTTAGCTAAAAAAAGAAGTGAATTCTTGTTTTTGCTAAAGGAAAACGGTTACATTGCATAGTATTTTTTAGGTTACTAAACTTATCAACTAATTGAATGTCAATTGAGCTGTAACTATTCCCAACCATGTCAAGACAACACATTGGTGCCAGAAAATGATAAATAATTAAAATTTGAACTCTGCTGATAAGTATTCAATTTAATTAGCTGGATAGAGGTGGAGTTTTCTTTGGAATTTATGTTTCTTCCATCAATTGATTGAAGTAGGCAACTGAAATGGCTTCACAACTGGATTGGTCATGTTATGATGCTCTGTTGTTAGTAGTTTGGATCGGAAAAACATAGCACTATAATTAGAGCTTATGAAGAGGAGTTTAAACAACATCAACCAGTTTCAATCTCTGACAGGAAAACGGTTTTTAACATGTTAAGTCTTAAAGGTGAAGAATTAACATTAAAATTTTTGCAGCTCAAGAACCTATTGGCATTCTCTAAACTGATAAAGATTGTTTCATTTTTATTCAGGTTCCCAATATTCTTCTTTAAGCATATTTTGAGCATTAAGAAAAGTGACCCTAAAACTACCTTGGGAAACTAAAAATGATTTCAATCATGATATCTCCCCCTGGTTTCTTGTCTCTAATCTTATCCATGATAAGAGCACTATGTTTATGATGTAGACCCTTGCTTATGTACATCTTTATGTCTAGAGATTGCAACTCGAATTATACCTAAGCATATTGTAGCTATGGATGTGAGGGAATGATATTATCATAAATGCCTCGTCATTGCTGCCTGCACTATGATTTGTTGATTTCTGCTTTTTGTTAATCCCTTTCTAATTGATGACTATACTTCCTTCTTTTCTCCATGGGTGAAGTGGCTTCTTGGGTGACAGTATTCTTAAAATACTCGACGGAAATAATATTGGTACTCTGTTTCATCGGGAGGCTAATGAATGGGTCCCGCTCACAGAAGTCGGAGCACGTGAGATGGCAGTTGCAGCTAGGGAAAGTTCCAGAAAACTGCAGGCAAATATAATTAACTGGCACTTTGGTTACGAATTCTTGTGAAAAAGAGGGGGATGTTGTTCATAATTTTGTTAGTACTTTTACCTGCAGGCTATGTCTTCACAAGAAAGGAGTAAAATTTTGCTGAATATAGCCGATGCTTTGGAGGCAAGTGAAAAGCTGATAATTGCTGAAAATGAAGCTGATATTGCTGAGGCACAGCAGGCGGGATATGAGAAGTCTTTAGTTTCTAGGCTGGCCTTGAAGCCTGGTAAGGTAAGACACAGTTTTGCTAATTTAAAGCATGTATAAATTAGAAATCAGATCCCTGAATGATTTAGACAAACTGCATCTTCTGGTTGGACAATTTCTTCATTATAGAAAACAAAATTGGATATATATCGAGTTAAATTGTTTTTTCAGAACTTTTCCTCCATCTGATCAGTCCATATTGTTTATAGGTTTCAAGCCTTGCAAAGTCTATTCGCATTCTTGCAGATATGGAGGAGCCAACTGGGCAAGTTTTGAAGAGAACAGAGGTATTGAAAGGGGTTTCTGGGTTCTGATGCAGGCTTGCGCAATTTTAACTAGTCTAGTTAGTTAAAATAGAAAATAACTATTAATTTATATATACATGCTTTATTTTACCTTTTTCATAATCTTTCTGATGATTGTTTCTATATCCAGCTTTCACAAGGATTTATCTTGGAGAAAATGTCTTCTCCTTTGGGTGTTCTTTTGATTATTTTTGAATCTCGGCCTGATGCACTAGTACAGGTATATTGCAATAACATTCTCTTCATCAGAAATTTTGTAGGAGATGATTTATTAGGTTCTTGCATGTAAAACATTATACTATTTTGATATTTCAAAAGAAATTGGGCTCAACTTGTGTATTATGCATGGAAATCTCATATTGTAAATTTGTCTGGTTTTCTATGTTTGGTTTAAATGGCTTTCACGGTACTGCTACTGCAATTATATGCAGTGTTATGTAGGATTTTTTGTCAATGCTTTCATAACAATTTGATTCCATCAATATTTTTTTGACCATCAGTTAACAGTGATTCCTTCCATCAAGAAGTTAAACAATTTGATAAACCTCTCTCTTTCCATTTCATGTTTGATGTACAGAGACCGTAAGTTTCATACTTTATCTTAGAGCAATATATGATTGGTAAACTTGACCCTCTGATGTTTCCAAGAATAATGTACAAGTAGTTTTTAGTTATTCTTACATTTGTTGTTGATTTTCCTTTTCTCTTTCCTACATGTACATATAATGTTGTCTGCAGATGTCCAAAATAAAAATTAAAACAATAAAGAAATTTGTAGACGCGGCATTTTTGGTACACTAATCAGAGTGCTGTTCCAGAATTTTATCATTATATTCAATCTTAATTATCTTAAGAGCATAACTAATATGATAAACTTGAACAAACTACTATATTAGAGTTAATTAAGCTACAGGCATAGACAAATATTTAGAGCCCGTTTGGTAGAGATTAAAATCTGATTAAAATTGAAAAACTAGCCGTTATAATTGACTTTTATTAGACGAGTGAGATCCAATAACGACTATATTTTCAATTTTAATTTGATTTTAAGTTGTACCAAACAAGCTCCAAATATACAAGGTGATGAATGGATGATGACACTTCGACGATTAAAAAATATGTTCTTGACTGCCTCAAACAGTAGAAGTGGACAGAATCTTTAGAGCCCGTTTGGTAGAGATTAAAATCGGATTAAAATTGAAAAACTAGCCGTTATTGTTGACTTTTATTAGACGAGTGGGGCCCAATAACGGCTATATTTTCAATTTTAATTGGATTTTAATCGGTACCAAACGGGCTCTTAATTTGTTTCTTTGACTATACAAGCTGATGGTCTTTCTTTCTTTCAAATAGATAGCTGCATTAGCAATTAGAAGTGGAAATGGGCTCCTATTGAAAGGGGGCAAGGAAGCCAAGCGATCAAATGCAATCTTGCATAAGGTTTGATCTTCTGTATAACATTTTAAATGTCATTTTGACCTAAAACTCGGTCCTTATTTTGTCATATATAATTGTTTTTGCCTGCTTGTAAATTTGTAACTTCATTTCCTATTATTTTAGGTAATTACTTCAGCTATCCCAGAAAATGTTGGTGAAGGACTTGTTGGACTGGTGGCCTCTAGAGAAGATATTCCTGAATTGCTCAAGGTAGCTTGATTAAGAATTTGGTTAATAACTCTAAATTCTTTCAGTATATTGATTACAAAACTTGAGAAATATGAACTAGAACTGAACATTAATGTGTCTCTTGCAGCTGGATGATGTAATCGATCTTGTAATTCCTAGAGGAGGAAATAAACTTGTTTCTCAAATCAAGGCTTCAACTAAGATTCCGGTTCTTGGTCACTCTGGTAACATATATCTCATTTTGAATTAGTATATTATCTTTTGATAGCATATGCTTTTATGTTGGAAGGAATGCTTTTTATGTGATGGTTGATGTTGATATAGCTCTCTTCTTTGCTTTCCAGATGGAATTTGTCATGTCTATGTAGATAAGTCTGCTGATATGGTTAAGGCAAAGCAAATTGTTTTGGACTCAAAAACAGATTATCCTGCAGCCTGCAATGCAATGGTAATATTTTCGTTGATATTTTGCGCCTTTGTAAATCACATTGTTTAGTATGTTAGTATATCCTTATCTCACTGCTCTTGTTATTTTTAGGAAACACTTCTCGTACACACGGAGTTGGTAAATACTGGTGGCCTTAATGAACTTATTGTGGAACTTCAAATCAAAGGTTGTTATTTCCTTGATATCCATCTTGTTAATTTCTCATACTAAGTATAAATATTTTGGGTAAATTCAAAAAATACAGTTACAAGCTTATAGAGAAACTAATTCTAGAGTCTCCTTGAGGAATGAATAAATACATTGTGCAATTACGCATTCAATAATCCATGCCAATTAAATATGTTGTTGAAAAATCAATCCTACAGTCCCCTCTGGGTCTGGGTTAAATATATACTGCATTTTTCTGCATTGCCAATTTTGAGATCACAATTATTCTGTTCAGTTATCGCTGGTTCTAAGTATTAGTTCGAGGAATAAGTAAAAAAGTTGGCATCTGAAGGGATTATTTAGCGTTAAAACAATTTTAAAAATTGGAGATCTGGGGATTAGTATAATTACTGCATTTGTTTCAGGGGTTACAATATATGGTGGATCTCGAGCGAGCTCTTTGCTGAATCTTCCAGAGGCATCTTCATTTCACCATGAATACAGTTCTCTGGCTTGCACTATTGAAGTTGTGGATGATGTGTATGCTGCCATTGATCATATACATCAGTATGGAAGGCATGTTAGCTTTTCAAAATTCTTTGCATGTCACTTTCATTTGTGCCTTTTTTCAAATGCTTCTTGCAAGTGGTTGTTATGACTTATGAGGACGATTCACATAAAGTAATCAACGTTCTCTTTTAATGGCAGTGGGCATACTGATTGCATCATTACTGAGGACCATGACATTGCAGAAATGTTTTTACATCAAGTCGACAGGTATTTTTCCTCTTGCTTTTCTATAACTTATTAGGGTAAAATACTCTAGAGCCCCAAATAGTGTTTTTTTTTTTCTGATGTGTCCAGTATATATTTTGACTATCTGAAAATCCAATATGGGAAGTTTCATCTAATACATCTTATCTATTAATACATCAATGATTATTATAAAAAGTTATGGCCATGTGGACTTAAATGACCTTAAATTCAAGTATGATGAAATGCAGTCGAAAAGGACAATCGTTCATATCTGTCTTTGCTATATACTTTCCATCATTCTGGGCTTTTGAATTGCATTTCTCTTGCACTATTTTATGCTATTAGATGTAAAAGGTTCAGAAGTGAAGACAAACACTCGACAAATTGTTGATTTCTCAATATACCAATTTGGATAAATAAAATGGAGCAAATACTAATTTTCCTCTTGCTTGTCTATAACTTAGGGTGAAATACTCTAGAGCACCGAGGAGATCTTTTTTTTTCATCTGATATGTACAGTATATATTTTGACTATCTGAAAAACCAATGTGGGAAGTTTCATCTAATATATGGCTATGTGGACTTAAATGACCTTGCACTATTTGATGTAAAAGGTTAAGAAGTGAAGACAAACACTTGACAAATTGTTGATTTCTCAGAATACCAGTTTGGATTAAAAAAAAAAAAAATTGGAGCAAAACTCTCAATTGTGTAAATAATTTTAAAAAAACAACCAAAATGATATTCCCAGCTGCTGACATTTTCTCCGGTTTGATGAAGATTTTCCCTTAATCTTGTGCTGAGTTTAATTGACAAATTAATCTGCACTGTTTCATTATCTCTAGGTCTACAAACAATTAATTTTCTTGCTTTTTTTCCCCTTAGCTTCCTTACTAATTTTCTCAACTTCAAAGCTATTTTATGTAATCAAAATATTCAAAGTTTTGTTGCCAGCTAACTCGAGCAATTATATTACAATGAACACCATGTTCTACTATAAGCAATATTTGGAGCATCGAAGGTAGATTCAATAAATTGTAGGTCAGAAATTCGGCCTTCCCAAATTTTAAGGTGGCTGGTTTATCAAGTTTAATGAAACAACATGCCTCGAAACTTATATGTGAACAATGCGCTTGAAGACATTTTCCTAATGGAAAGCCAAGGGATCCCTCCACCCCTTACGATTGATCTGTGGTAACTTTAGATCTGAAACATTTAATAAATAAGAGAACTACTGAATTCCTAAGCTGTTGTATTCTATATGTTGGATGCATCTGTCCATTTCTTGTGAATATTGATTAAATGGATATTTTCGTCCAAAAAGTGACATCTTGTTAAACGGTTGATTAGTTTTAAAACTTCTGTCATGCTATTTTCATTTTTAAGTTCCTTAAAATTGTCTGAGTTTTTTTCTTTTAGATACAAAAATTATGGGTTTCTTTGTATTTTCTTGAATTTATTAGAATTTAGGTTATGAAACATTATGTGTAATATATTTTTTACTTCAGAAAAATAAGAGGTGAATATAGCGATAAAATAGGCTCTTGAACAACCTAACATCATTTTTTACACCTGCAGTGCTGCTGTTTTTCACAATGCAAGTACAAGATTTTGTGATGGCTTTCGTTTTGGACTAGGGGCGGAGGTATGCCATTTACCATTTTTGTTAGCATGATAAGTTGTTTGTAAATTTTGTCCTATCATATATTTTTCTGTTTCTGAAAAGGTTGGCATCAGTACAAGTCGAATTCATGCTCGTGGACCAGTAGGTGTAGAAGGATTGCTAACAACACGATGGTATGCTGCAGTATCGCTTTTCATAAATTCACAGTGGCTTTTCTGTCTGATATTTACTTTTTAATAATAATGTAACTTATATATTATATATTGCATATGGGATATTATTATGACTAGCACAAATCTTCGTGACATTAACCCTTCTTTTTCCGGAAGATTGTCCTAAAACAAAAATCATAGCATAGACTCAACTCTTGGGAGATTGCTTGTGTAGATTTAAAGATAAGACAAAAACTTAGATTTAGAGCAGCATATTATTTTAATAATGCATCTTTACCTCCATTAGACTGAACCTGGTGTTTACGTCAAGTGTGAGTGTGATATCTGGATGTCTGCATATCAGATTTAATATTTCATGATGTTTGAATAATTACTTCTCTGTGCACTTCTACCAAAACATTAAAACTGATGGTGCTGTTAGTGATGATTACTGTGATATTGATTTCTTAACACCTTCTCTACTTCGATAATGGTGTCAAACACATTAATCCTTGCTCTAGCCCGACTTGTTGCATTTGGAACTTCTAGGTCTGAATGTCAGCTTGTCTCATGTTATAGTTAAGATTGTGTACAAGAATTAGCTAGTTGGAAGATCAAAAGTAAGCTACTTTGGATTCATACTTTCTTCACAAGGTCTAGATTCTTATGCTTATCTGTTGAAATGAGTGCTTCGCAAACTAGTGCAAGCTTCGTTAGTTTTCAATTGATAAAGATGGCTGAGGAATTCGACCTCAGATGTGTCTATGCATTTACTGTTTTCTTGGATATAGTTTCCATCCAGGTGACAATATGAAGCACGGTATACCTGTGTGTGTATATTTGGGTGATTTCAAACTGGTTCAAAATTGATGTTATTGCGTAGGATTGCGAGAGGAAGTGGACAAGTGGTGGATGGTGATCACGGAGTTGTTTACACTCACAAGTCCCTAACTCAGGATTGAGACATTGCAATTGATCGGTGCATGTTTGGTAAGCAATATTGGATAGTATAGTCAAAAGTATTATCCAATCCCCTTTACCAAAAATGCCGTGAAAGTATTCAGCTGTTTGTGTATTCCCAGGGTGTCGTGTGATGTATTGGTGTTACTGGAGTTGTCTCAGTAGTAATGTTCAATTACTCTCAAAGCAAGGTGGTTACTGGTTCATTTCAGCTTTTAAAACAAAAAAGAGGAATGAACAAGCCCTAGTTTATGGTACACTCATATCAACTAAATACATCAACACATTATATTCAGTAGGTTTGTAAATTGCATTGTTATATCTGGATTTTGATTTGTAGCGGTTGATTAATTGCAATGTGACTACTGTTTGCTGATAACAGGAGCAAAATACTACATTAGTCATGTTTCAACAGTCAGTTTTGATATTCTAGTTTTATGTCCCAACATATAAGAGATCTTGGCTAACATCGAGATTTGATGGCCATCACAAGTTTTGTTAGGATTATCAATCTTTATATTTGCTTCGATTTATTGCGTTCTTTGAAAGTGGTGACATAAATGGTGAAGCTTCACTTGATAGTTCATTGTTCATTTATTGCTTTTGCCGGATAGAAGTATGGAGCATTATTTCTTTTATTCAAAAGGTGGGTATTGTTGGGAAGTAACAATAAACTTGTATATTAGAGTTTAGAAAAGTTGGCATTATGAGAGTTGTGTCGAAAGCATCGACACTTCTTAATATCATATTAGATTTCTTTTTGGGTAGATATTAGCGACTAAATATGGTTACATCTAGTGTTATAAAACTATTTTAACGGGTTAAATTTCAATTTCTCAAATATACATTTTATGGTATTAACAATTTTTATTAACTATTCAATCATACATTTATCAATAATAATAAGCCTAATGCAATGTTGACCGAAATTAATAGGAAACATACTAATTTTTAAAGAAATGGGGTCTCATAAAGAAAGTTTAATGTGAAATAAAGGAAAAATTATTTTTCAAACATAAATGTAATAGAATAATATAATATAATTCAGAATATATAACTACAGTAGAAGTACATGATTAGACCAATATCTTAACTTTGTAGAAATTTAATAAACTAATTAATTAGAGCATTGTGTTACTCATAGAAGCTTTCATATAAAAAACCTTATGCATTTGGCAATCAATTAATATCAATTAGTCATCTTCATTTTGTTTATATATGTTCAATTATTTTCACCAAAATAAACCAATAATCACAATGTTGTTAAATGAACATCACAATTAGCAAACTTCATGCCCGTACAATTATTGTAAAATTCAATTTTGAATCTCATTTCCATAAATTTGATAAATCACTCAACTCTTAATATAGAAATAATTTACCATGAAAATGAAGGTAACTAAGCTTGAGGTAGCATACTGACGGGGGCAGATGTAGCACAATCCTGCCCCAGCCCAAATAAAAAGCCTAATGTAAAGAAATAAAAAGGTGAAAATTACACCTGATCAGATTTTGTAAGTTTCAATTTCAAAATTCAGTTGTAAAGTTTTTTTAATACAAAAATCAGATAATAACATAATTTTTAAATATTAATAATAATATTATAAAATAAAATAAATCCCCAAAAACCCCGCCCCGCCCCGCCCCGCTCCAATTCAAATTAATCTATACAACCCACATATCCTACCTTCGTTCACCCCAAACCCTAATTTCCCTTTCTCTATTTTCCCTACTCTTCCCGGCAACACGACTCCAGCGTGAAGGCGTAGCCGCCGCTTCATCTTAGTGGATGCTCAGCTCTTTGCCTCAGTAGATGCACAACTCTGTCGACGAATCCTAAGTGGACGTGCTATTGGATGGTCACAGCGTCGATGGAGTTGAGGCGTGGAGTTGCAAGCAAAATCAGTTTTGCACAGTGGAGTTGAGGCGCGACGATGCGATGCGCCTCAGTGGTTTTGCCTAGTGACAGCGTCACTTGTGGATCTAAACTTTTCTCCGGCGTTGGGGATCACAGCGGGGATTTGACTTTTCTCCAATGATACGGATCACAGCGCCGCTTGTGGAGGTTTCTATGGTGGCAAAAAAATAATGTGTGACCTAAAAAATTGTTGATTTGTGACCGATAATTTGTGTTTGTCTAATAAATTGTGACTTATGATATTTGTGATTTATGACCTATAAATAAATTATGTTGTTTCAATTTTTGAATTGTAACCGATGAACAAATTGTGACGTGTAAAATTTTTGAATTGTGATGTTAAAATAATTTGTGATATATAAAATTTTTGATTTGTGACCAACTTATTAATTTTATAAATTTGTGACTTATGAAGAAATTGTGATCTATAAAATTTTCGATTTGTGATTCTGAAATAATTTGTGACTTATAAAAAATTTTATTTTGACCGAGAAATAATTTATGATTAAATTATATGAAATTGTGACATTAATATATTTTAATTAATAAAATATATGTTTAATTAATTATTTTATAAATAAAATTTGAAAAAAATCTAACATTTAAAATTTTAAACCTTAGGTTCTTAAATTTGAAATAGGTGGAGCTTAACTTCTTATTTATGAATTTTTCTCAATAAAAAATGTATGTATACATTTAGCCAAAATTCTATTTTAGCCTAGTTATGTTAATTTACAGCTCTAGTCCAATGATAAATAATCTAAATTTAGTAAAATATTCACTTTAGCCGAGTTAATTTAATTTTCAACCCTAATCCAATGAAAAATAGTTCGAATTTAGTTAAGTACTCTATATATAATTACACATTCATCTAATTCACATTTGTTACAATATCAAAAACTCGTTATCAAGTTAGGTATTTGCCTTCTTAATTACACATTCATCTAATTCACATTCATCTATCGAGATCGTTATCAAGTTAGGTATTCGCCTTCTTAACTTAAACAGAAGAGGCTTTACGAAAGAACTAAATCACGATCTCGAGGGACTAATCTCTTAAAAATGGAAAAGAAAGGGAAAGCCAATCGCCTTTGTTGCCCCTCGACTCGATAGAGTGAGTCTACTTAGCGAACTGACAAGACTTGGCATAGATGAAGAAAGGCAGGCCGCTTTTTTGAAGGCGGAGAGTTTGCATTTTCTTTAATTGACTCGCTACTGAGACAAGGAAAATATACTATAAGATAGGGCTGAGCTTTCAAATCTGGGGGCTGTCCCGGAAACTACCCTCTCCAATCGACGAGAACATCCAACTCCTACTAGATTTAAAGGTCATAAATCCTCTTAATTCAAGTGAAATACTGACCACCTACTTGCTCTTCTGCCTATGAGAGAAGCTTCGGCCATAAAACTGGTACTCAAATTGCAATTAGATATTTTAGGAAACCACCATCCAAAACACGAGAATGAATCCGCATAGCAAACTGCACCTAAATGACCTTTAGCTACTAACATCAACATATTGGGTATTACAGAACACACGAGCATTGCCACATCATTCAGGCAAATGAATGCTTAACATAAAGTTCTCTAAAGTGCAGAATCACATAAATAGTAGTAAACATAATTAAACTAGTTTTTGAAAACAGTTCCACCAAAATTGTCTAAATACTTGCAGTTCATGCCTCAACGAACTTTTTGAGGTTCTTTAGCCAAGTAACATATTCTTTGCTGTCTTTGCCAATCATGTACTCATGCAAGAAATTGGTTGTGCTGGGCTTGATTCCTCTTATCTCTAGATACTTGTGAAAAGCCTTCTGCAGATTTTCATCCAAGTCCCTGAGAGAGAAAAACGACCATTTGCATATTTTTTCGAAGAGAAAAACAGAGCACTCAGAGATAACATAAACAGGATACACAGACAAAGATATTTAGATACTAACGTGAAATCAGGTCCTTCGTATGCTATTTGATCTTCCGAGCTTTCGGGTTCCTTAACAGACAAGCTGTCGATTGCAATCTCATCTGGGTAAGCCGTACATCCAAACTCTAAACAGGGTCCATTCTTCTTGGAAACTCTGACAACAAGTGGTATACTCGATTGAGGGCCTCTTTCTTCATCGTTATTGTCATTGTCATCATCGTTCTCCTCACCAGTTACAAGGTCAGGCATGTGAACTTCGACACTGATAGTTTCACCCTGATATTCTCTAGTTAGAGTTATGGTTTGTTGTCCGGGATGGTCTTCAATTGCAAAAGGAAAACCCTTGGGCACCTCCACAACCTATAAGACAAATCATTATTACCCAAAATTGAGTTTGGACACATGATCAATGAAAAAATATTGGTATATACACAAATGTTATTAGAAAGGCTTCAAGTGGCATGATAATGAATCATTATCAACTACAATAAAACTACAAAATGCCGCGAAAACAAACAGAAATCTAATCAATGCACAAAATCAATAACCCTTCATTTCTATTTAAGGTAACGAAGGGAATACAGCAGAGATTTTTGAATAAAATCATACTAGCAAATCCATTTTCCAAACATAATAAGAGAAACTATAGAGAATAAAATATCAAAATAAATTGCAGAATATCATTTCTTTCATTTTCCAACATTTTCTAGCAAAATGCAGCATTCCGTGCTCTAATTTGACATCATGTTACCAAAATCGTGCATACAAAATATCTCCCAATATGACCAAACAACAAAATATATCCCTTATTTATTAAGAAATGTGCATTATATATTAATTCCTGTACATAGAAATTAAAATACCAATACTGCAATCTATTATACAACAAAATCATACAAACTAAATAAAATTCACAAGTCATTCGAAACCATTTTCAAAGCATCATTTGAAAAATTAAAGATTAAATAAAATTTCAAGAAAAATCTTCAGTCCCTCATTTTCTAGCAATATACACATAACAAAGACAAGTTAGTTACATGAAAATGTTAAATAAATAAAAGAAATAAAACCTCATCATTATCCTCGGACTCCTGGGCACATTGAATCTCGGACTCGATGACTCGGAGGAGTGACTCATCGGAACTCGGCCTTTTAGTGGAATAGTGATTAATGGAAACCGAAAACGACCTCGGGATCAACTTTCGAGAGAGATCGCCATGCGTTTGGACAGCGTCAAAGAGGGCAGAGCAGTGGTGGTGGTACCTTTGACTTCCAGATGAAGCCCGGATGGTCAAAGGTACAACTCGTGAAACTGTTCTCCGGATTGCGTTAGCAAGTGCCATTTTTGTTGAGTGAGATTGAGGTCTTTCAGGCCTCGAAACGAAAAAGGGGTTTTGCTGAAAGGGGAGACTTATGGTATTTAGGGTTTTAGAAGGGGCTTTTATATATTTTTGGGGGAAACCACGAGATGGGGTATTAATGATATTAATTTCACAAATATTAATTTTTTTTTATCATTTCTTATCATGGAAGTCCATTTAACGCCACATTGTTTGTCTTCACTAATTTCAAAATACATTTTCTCTTTCTTATTTTCATTCATACAGTTTTAAATGAAATAATATTACACGTAAACTCGGTACTTTTTTTTTACCACATTTTTTTCAAAAAATTACTATTACAAAATACATTTTTTCCAAACACTAATTATAATAGAGTTCAAACATAGGCTTAGTTTTTTGTATTATGCAACTTGTACGTCAATTGTTGACATTAGGTTTGACATCTCCTATATGTAGGAAATTTAACCATTAATTGAAAAAAAAATATTGTTAAAATCAATGTACAAAAAGTTATGGACTCGTATGACATCAAACTTGTGTACATTTAG